TTTGGAGGATACTTTTTGTTAAACACAGTTGAACCTAATCCTAACTGATATAAGAGCAATAATGCCTGTGATAGCAGCCTAGAATCAGGTGATCCTAGGTCAGCCTACATAAAGATGATATGGTAGCAGCAGAAGGGAGAAGCGCTCCAAGATAACCTCCAACTGCCTTCTGGGTTTACTCAGCCTCTAGGCTGGGGCCTGAGGGTGATACTGAGAAGGGACAAGGAAACTGCCAGCACATATCCCAGACTGAGATCTAAATATAGCCTCAAAGGGACTTGAGCTGTGACTTTGCCCCTCTACCTTGTCTCAATATCTAGAGACCTTGATAATGGAAAGTACCATCTCCAGAGGCTAAATCAGTGAAGACCAAGGTTAGTCAAGGCTATTTGATGACATTAATGAGTTCTTTTAATTTTTAAGTGTGATAATGGGATTGTAGCTGTATTTTTTTCAAGTTATCCTTTAAAGGAGCAAACTAAAATATTTATAAATGAAATTAAATAATGGCTGGGATTCACTTTAAAATACTTTGAGGGAAGAAATGGATGACAATACAGATGAAACAAGATTGTCCATGAGTTGATTATTATGGGTACGAGGAACATGGAAATTCACTTCACATATAAAGAAAGACAAAATCATGGACTTCACAGCAATGTGGATGGATTTAGAGTCTACCATACTCAGCGATGTATCACAGAAACAAAGAACTGAGTACTACATGCTCTCACTCATAAATAGACCCTGAGCATTTATAATAATACTACAAGAAAGGGATTGGTAGTAGCAGGACACTGTGCAGGGTGGGGAGGGGAGTGGGCACATAACATCAATAAGGGTACCTAATAAGGCAAAGTGAGGACCAATGGGAGGCCCAAACTTCACTTGCACATTGCCCACTTATGTGCCTAAACCTGAACTGCACGCACATCTTTAAAATAAGATAATTGGGTGTGGTGGCTCACACCTGTAATCCTAGCACTTTGGGAGGCGGAGGTGAGAGGACTGCCTGAACCCAGGGATTTGAGACCAGCCTGGGCAACTTGGTGAGAGCTCATCTCTATGATAAATTTCAAAATTAGCCAGGCGTGGTGGCGCATGCCTGTAGTTCGAGCTACTTGAAAGGCTGAGGCAGAAGGATCGCCTGAACTCATCAGGTTGAGGTTGCCATGGCTGTGGGTATGCCACTGCACTCCAGCCTGGGTGACAGGGTGAGACTCCAACTAAAAACAAAGCAAAATAAAATAATTTAAAAAAGAAAATCCTAGGCACCAGAGTAAGACCCCATATCTACAAAAATATTTAAAATCATCTGGCCACAGTGGTGTGCACCTGTAGTCCCAGCTACTTGGGAAACTGAAGCAGGAGGATGGTTTGAGCGCAGGAGTTTGAGGCTGCAGTGAACTGTAATCACGCCACTTACACTCCAGCCTGGGCAACAGAGTGAGACTCTGTCTCTAAAAACTAAAATAAAAATAAATTTTAAAAAGAAAAATAAGAGTGATTCAAGGAGAATCATGTTCTACTGAGTGTCTGGTGGAAGGAAGAATGGGGCTTAGAGGCAAGCCCAGATGAGTAGTGGGTTCCTCTCTTGTTAGGAGCACAGAAAAACCATGCCCTAACACCATGCTACTCAGCCACTGAATTCTAGTCTGGCTGGCCTGGCGATGTATAATTGTAATAAAGGGTGTGAGCCAGCCCCACTTGTCTCTTCTTTTTTTTTTTTTTAGTTGGAGTCTCACTATGTCACCCAGACTGGAGTGCAGTGGCCGCTCCCGGCCACTGCAGCCTCAACCTGCTGGGCTCTGGCGATCCTTCTGCCTCAGCCTTCCGAATAGCCAGAACTACAGGCGCACGCTACCACGCCTGGCTAGTTTTTGATTTATTGTAGAGAGGAGGTTTCGCCAAGTTGCCCAAGTGGGTCTCGAACGCACGGGCTTAGGCAATCCACTCACCTCAGCCTCCCAAAGGTGCGGGATTACAGGCTGAGCCACCGAGCCTGGCTCATCTCTTCTTTATTGTTAATCACAGAAAGGCTCAGTGAGAGCATTGTAAGTTCATCTTCTACCTCCACACTTGCAGGCATAGGAAACAAATCTGCCAATACTGGGCACTGTTGTAAATTCATTGCTAAAACAGCTTTGGGGTCCAAAGTTTATGAGATGTTTCTTCAGACACAAGCCTTCATGCAGAGAATTTGAAAAGCAAACTCCTTGACAGTCGATAAATGCTTCCTTCTCTGCTGATGAACGGGTTCGAGGTCTACCTTTCTGGCAAGTTGGTAGTGTACAAAGTGGGGGAAAATATGGTAACATCCTAAATTATCAAAAATGAGGTCATGAGAAAGAGAATAAAGGTATGCTCATACAACGGAATATGGCATAGCTAATTTAAAATGATGTCCATGAAGAATTTATAGTAACATGGGAAATCCTTATGCTACAATGTTAAATAAAAAACATTTGGGCACAACTTATTTTGAATTGGAGTCTCACTCTGTGCCCAGGCTGGAGTGCAGTGGCATGGCTACCACAGCCTCAATCTGCTGAGCTCAGGCAATCCTTCTGCCTCAGCTTTCCGAGTAATTGGGACACCATACCCAGATAATGTTTTGTATTTATTGTACAGATGAGATCTTGCCATGTTACCCAGGCTGGTCTTGAATTCCTTGGCTCAGGCAATCCTCTAGCTTCAGCCTCCTAAAGTGTTGTGATTACAAGCATGAGCCACCGCACCTGGCACAATATTGTTTATTCTATATAATTCACATGATGTAAAGTATATAATTATATTTTTAAAAGAAACATCCTTTGTCTTACTGTCTTAATAATTATTAAAGCAGGTTAATGGAATTAAGAATGATTCCTACCCATTTATTTTTCCATAGGGTAGAGTCATAACTGGGATACAAGATACCTGAATCAGTAGAATGTGGGGATCTTCACTAGTACCTGTGGCTTTGTCACCAAAATAAATTGAAGTTATTTTCACATCATATTACACTTGTGAGTAGATATGTTGTAATGTCATTTATTCTCCTCATAGCTTTGAAATTAGACAGTTACTAGAACTGCCACCAAATCTTGTTATTTAATGTATATTATGGGATTACCAAACTGTTTTTCAAAATGCTGCTAACCATATTTGTATACCTAACCCTTAACTGTACCCCACAATATCAAAATAAAAAACACTGATTATAAAAAAAAATACTGCTAACCATATTTCAGTACAAAAGTTTTCCTCAGTAATCCTATATATTTTATTTTATCTATTTTAAAATATTGTTTTGAGAAGAAATTTATAGGTTTCACCAGACTGCCAAAAGGGTTCTCAGGACAAAAACAATTAAGAAATTCTTAACAGATGTGTTTGTGACAGATGGACTAATTAAAGTATTAGCTACCCACAACATATAATAATGGTTTACTGCCAGGTGTCTTTACGGTCCCAGAATTCTTTCCACTTGTTCTTTGATGATGTAGCCTAGTAGAATATGACACCACCTCCATCTGTATCTCCCCAACATCCCCTGTCCATTAAGCCATTAGAATAATTCTATATCTTTCAAAAACCAGTGTTTGATGGATCACAAAAGACACTCCGGGGTAAACAGGAAGCTACAAAGGCACAGGCAAGGGAACGTCTGATGGGGCTGATGGAGAGCTGGGTTGACAGGTCTTCCCCTGCCTCAATGACCAATCAACATTATCCTAAGTGAAATAAGCTAAGCAGAGAACAATAAATACCACATGATGTCACTTATATGTGAAATCTTAAAAAATTGAACTCATAGAAGCAAAAGTAGAAGGATGGTTACCAGGGGCTGGGGGTTAGTTATGAATGCATAATAGTAACAATATATTGTATACTTGAAATTTGCTAAGAGAGATTTTGTGTTCTCACCACAAAAAACATGTGAGGTGATGTGTATGTTAATTAGCTTGATTTTTCCATTCCACAATGTACACCTATATCAAAACATTATTTTGTACACCATAAATATATACACTTTAATTTGTCAATTCATAACATCAAATATATTTTTTAAAAACATTGAATCCATCAACATTGTAGGTCAGCACTCACTGAGGAAAGCCAGGAGTTTTTTTAAAACCCTACAAATACCTGTCAAAGATTTAAAAGTAAAGAAAGTAATCCTTACACAATGGGTGGTATAAAGCTTAGGTCTAGCAACAAAATAGTAGGAAAATATCAGAGTTTAGTTTAAGAAGAGGGACAAACCAGCTACACTTTTCAAAATGGAATAAATGTATTTCTTACTCAAATTTGCTTTTAGAATCTGGTATGGCACTGGGGGCTGTATTCCTTGGGCTATGACCACCATCTGATACCTTTGCGTGCATATAAGAGATTTTTTCCCAGAAATCCCAAATTTCCCCTATTCAAATGAAAATATTCTCTCATGTTGAAAAGCATCTACCTAACATATAACCTCCTCTGAGAGTTAGTCTCCTTTATGCCTGCCCCTCACCAGAGGTCTACAGAGTTGGGTTCCAGCAGTCTCTTTATGAATCCAAATCCCTGACAGTGGCTGATTAGCCAGGGATGGAGACCTGACCTATGCCTCACCAATCAGATACTTTCTCCTGGGAATTTGGAGTTGGGAATCAGTTCCTCCCCAGTGCTTTGAAGTATGGGCATATAAACTTGGGGGTTGTAGGATGGGCCTGTCTGGAGATGTGTATGCTGAGGCAGATAGTAAGTGAGACCAGGGTAGGACATGGGTATCCACAGAGAAGCAGAGACACTTCACGAAGTTCAGCTGCCCCTGCTGTCCAGGACCTCTACATCCACATTACAGGAATCCCCTTTGGGCTGGGGCCTGTCTGCATGGGGCCCCAGTTTAGAGTTTGCACCTAGGCACCCCACGGGGCAGCTCATGACCATCTTAGCTCCCTCTTCCCAAATCATGGTCAACGTCTCATGTGTCCCTTCTGAAAAGAAAGCAAGGAGCAGCCACCCAACCAGCATACCTCGGGTCTGCCAATGCTTCTGCGGACCCTTGCTCCAACTCCTTCTGACTGCTCCCGGCTGAGCACTGAGAGAGTAACCTTCTTGGAAGACCCCATGTCAAAGTCTAAAGAGAGTATTCTGATGCTGAACTGTAGAGACTGAAGGGCAAAAGGGGAGACAACAAAAAAGAAGTCACAAAGGAGGGAATATCCAAAGACTACAAAATAAAGTATGTTAAAATTATACCCAAAATAATAGCAGCTACAATGCATTGATTGCTTGCTAAATACTGACCCTGGGTTAGGTGATTTAAAACAACAATATAATGGTGAACATGTATAGTACTTACTAGGTGCCCCGTAGCCACCAATTATTTACAATAGTTATCTCATATAATTTTAAAGTTCTCTTGCACAAGGGTCAGTAATACAGTTACATGCTACATAATGACATGTAAGTCAGCAAGGACCTGCGTATATGATAGTAGGTTTATAAGATTATCATAACCGTAGTTTCACTGTACCTCTTATCCAGCTATGTTTAGATGCACAAATACTCCCCTTTGTGTTCCAATCACTTACACTAACTAGTACAGTAACGTGCTGTACAGGTGTGTAGCCTAGGAGCAACAGGCTAGGCCATAAAACCTTGGTGTGTAGTACTCTGTCCCATCTAGGTTTAGTGAGTGCACTCTACAATGTTCGAATGAAAATGAAATCGCCTAATGACACATTTCTCAGAACGTACCTCCGTCCTGAAGCGAAGCATGACTGATAGCTCTGTTGAGTATTTACTAAGAACCTCTAATGAGGTTTTTTTTTTTTTTTTTTTGAGTTGGAGTCTCACTCCGTTGCCCAGACTGGAGTGCAGTGGCTGCTCCCGGCCACCACAGCCTTGACCTGCTGGGCTCCGGCGACCCTTCCACCTCAGCCTTCCGAGTAGCCGGAACTACAGGCGTATACTACACCACGCCCGGCTGATTTTTTGATTTATTGTAGAGATGAGGTCTCGCTGCCCAGGCAGGTCTCGAACCCGCGGGCTCAGGCAATCCACTCACCTCAGCCTCCCAAAGGCGCGGGATTACAGGCTGAGCCACCGAGCCCGGCTCTCTAATGAGGTTTCTATGCTTTACCTCAATGTACTCTCTCGACCACCACAGCCCCCCATCAGTGCTACCCCATGAAGTAGGTGCTACCAGTGAAGCTGATATTTGGGGAGCTTGTGTGGTGACATAGGGAACACAGAGAAAAACCAAGAAATTGGTAACTCTCACCAGATCGTTCTGAAGATCTTGGCATTGAAAGGGATCTTCCAGGATCATTAAATTCAAAGACACCCATCTATCCCTGAAGTTCAGGGCCAACTTTTCAAGGCAAGAAGTCTTTGAACTTTCTCATGAAGTCTTCTAGAGTACAAGCAAATCATGGATGAGCTGCCCTTAGCAATGCATCCCATATTTCGGGACTTACCTATGGCCCAAGTTTACCATTCAAAAGTGTTTCCAGCCGGGCTCGGTGGCTCAGCCTGTAATCCCGCGCCTTTGGGAGGCTGAGGTGA